ATTTTTACCGTTAACATAGCAGTAATTGATATCTTGTATTTCCTCAGTATTATCAAAATTTATTCAGTAACTCTTCCATCTCCTTGAAGAGCACAAAGCAGTAGCCTCTGTTCCAAACATAGATTATTGCCGGCTATATAATTCCTCCGACCAATGTCAACAACTGACGTACTCGCATCGTCTTGATAATGTTTAATAGTTAAGACGTGAAATTTGAATACTTTATGATTTGCGCAAATCCCATTGGCAAAACGGCCAAAGGAAGAAAGATGGTTATGACCGCGATTGCCAAATCATAAAATAAAATCTTCATTTTTGAAATTCATAATATCATGTCGAGTTAATATTAGAAATGGATACTATTATAAGTCCATAATGCCTTAAAAATATTATTTGGCGCTTATTTTCGAATTCATTTGTACTAATATATCTTAATTTATTTTTTGTGCGTTCTCGTTAGGTTTCACACAAATTTCAGACAATTTGTATAGTATGTATAATGTAGTAGATATAGAAGAGAACGATGTATAATGGTATTTAAGCCAAAACTGTACTATTTGTAACAATATCGTTAACACAGTTCAAAGCACCCCCCACGTAAGCTTTTTGACAATATATTACTCTTTACAACTAGGGGCCTTCTCCATATAATGTACGTACTGAAGTACAGGGCAGCAGTAGGCAACAAAAGTAACGCCCGATCTGCGCATCAAAGCAAGTGAGTAAAAACGTGGCTGTGCTTACCCCCCTTTTGACGTTTCTTAAAGCATTTTTTTTTCTACTTTCTTTCTTGACTTCTGAATAAGCACCAGGATAAAAACAAAAACCGTAAATCACCTTAAGGTGTTGCACACCTAATAGTCTGCAAAAAGTAAGAAATGCTCATATTTTATACCAAAAAATAACCATTTAGTAAACTATACAAGAAATGCATCATGCATACACAGTAAGTTAATAGCTTCTTAAACAATACAAAAGAACTAAAAAATAAAAATTTTGCCTTTGTTTAGATGTTTCTCGATCCTCAAGAAGCAAAAAAAAAAACACATGAAAAAAAACAATGAAGGAATGACCCAGATTATAGTTGAAGTCATGTAATGGTATGTGTTTGTTAAGGTCCTGTATTACTTTTATAATTAAGTTTTTTTGTGGTATTAAAAAACTTATATTCTATAAATTATAATATAATTATATATTAAATTTTATATTTAAAAAAAAGATAGAACATATACAAGTTAAGGTATAGCATTTTTTTAATGAAACAAAAAAGAAACGAACAAGTAAATCCAAAAAATTAAAGTATAATATTATACCATAAAAAAAATTAAAAATAAGTAGTTGGTATTAAGTTTTAGAGGTAGATAGGTCTTGGTAATAACTTGAGGATATTTTGCAGATATTATTAAAAGTTTGTTAATTACAGTCAGACTTCTATATAATCACCAAGTCTGTCATGCTCTAATGTGGTAATTATATAGAGGTGTGACTATAAACAAATATCAGATTAATATCACATGATCTTCAGCCAATCAATGATTAATTGATAATTT